CTGCAAAACAAGAACTGTTATATATGAGATACCTCGGAGTCAGATCGATCCCACGTCTGCTAATTTCCTGATATGGCCACCGTGTGTGGAGGTGAAACGTTGTACTGGCTGTTGCAACACCAGCAGTGTGAAATGCCAGCCATCACGGATACATCACAGAAGTGTCAAGGTGAGCAAATTATGATGGTAGGGATATGAATGGAAGAGTTTGGGAGCTTCAGGCATTCTGTTGTGCATCCTGTTTAGCATCTACCTTTCCCACCCTTGCCCTAGCAATGTCAGTCAGATATCTTGTTCTCTTGCAAGTGAGCAGATGCCTTTCATAAAACATGATTAGTGGAAAATGTTATTTTTGGGACTGATTTTTATACATTCCTTTCATTTTCCTTTATATCTTAAAAAGTCGTCTTTCCCACGATCTCTCCCCTAACAGATCTTGAATTTAAAAGACAGAATGACTCAAGGGGCATCGGACTGCAAAATTCACTGCACAGAATTACATTTCTTTAATTAAATACTGTGCAGCCTAAACTGGGCTTTTATGTGTGACAATATAGCATGTTTGATCTGTGAAAAATGTTATCCAAATTATTGTGTCTCTGGGGATAAGAGACTCAAGGCTTCATGCTGTATTTACTCAGTAAGCAACATCCATTTCTCCCTGCCACAGGCTTCCAGTAAATATTACATGAAGTGAATGGTATTTCTTGTATTTTGTGCATGTTTATATCAGTGCAATTCAGCAGTAACTCTGCTGAAGTCAATGGAGCTGCACTCGCATGAATAAGATCAGAATCACATATCATTAACCTCTGGGCCCCATACTTGACTGCCAATTCTATACTCCAAATTCCCTTTTTTGAAAAATTCAGATATGGATTTGCCTGCTAGGATATAATGAGTGTAGCAGCCACTCTGGCTTATTGAGTAATTATAAGAGGTGCTGTTAACACATTTATTTGGCCATTGCACATTTCAAGGACAAAGAGTGACATCCCACCCAGTTATGAATTATCTGAACCCACAAAAACGTGTCTGAGCAGAGTTTTTTAATGGGCAAAGAACATTTTCACACTCTGGCAAGCTGGAAAACATCTGAACAGATTTTTTCAGCCTTTCCAAAAATAATTATGCTTTACACTTACGTGGCATCATTCATGTGTGGATCTTGATAGACTTTGCAAATATAATTAAAAAGAAAGAAAAAAATCAGGGACAACTCAATTAACTGCTGGGCTGAGAACAAACTGGAGAAATCTAAGCCCCAAAGTTTAAGCCATTGAAAACAGAGGCTTAGAATGGAAGTACATCTTGACCTGTAACCATAATGTCACTGATGAGTGTAATGCTATCATCTTTGGGCCGAGTCCTGCTCTCATTGAGTTCTATAATGCTATCATCTTTGGGCCAAGTTCTGCTCCCATTGGGGCTAGATTCTGTAGTTCATATGCTGACGTGGAGCAAAGAGGTGAAAACCCAGACCGCAATGCTGAGCAGAGAATCCCTGTGGCTGATGAGAATTCCCTGCTGGTGCATGTGTACCACAACCCAGCTCTGTATCGCCATCCCTCCAGTTCACACTGAATTGTAGGGAGCAGGAAAGGAGTGAGCAGGAGGTTGGGGGTGGGGAGGTAGTCTGCCTCCACAATCACCCACTGGCATAGGATGTATTAAGGAACTTAAGCCAGTGATAGAGTTTAAAACTTTGGCAGCAGCTTTAAGTATGTCAGTTCTGGGGCTGTCATCCGCACCCCCCATTACTGCACCAAGGAATCTGTCTCACTGCCTCACACAGTTCAGAGATGCGGCATTGTTTCCTTCAGGGATATATTCATTTTATTACTGGGTAAGTTAAAAGGAGCCCTATCGGATAACATGATTTTTGTGGCTCCATTAATAAGTTGACACCAAAGATATCGACATACACGTCGTCCAGTTCTTCAGAAAAGTCCAAATAGCAGTTGAGTAGCAAGAAGGACAAGAGGTCAAACAGAAACAGGATGCTCATTGTTGAGAATGCCCGCTGACCTCCCAGTCACATCAGAAATCTGAACAGAATCCGCATTTGTTTCCCCCAGAGTCGGCATCTCTCATAGGCTTTGATATAATTCATGGTTGGAAATCCTGGATTTAGAGCTCCGTGGGTGTACATACCACTATCTAGCAAGGCCCTACATGAGGGTCCCGGGAAAGGTAGAAGTTGGTTTGGGGGCCTGCCTGGGTTATTCCTGGAATGCAGTTGAGAGCTCTCTTGTATTTTCTATGATGTCAGGCTGGATAAAAGCGCTCTTTGATTAGAACTGAAAGGGCTTCCCTCCCTCCCCTTTCATTGACAAGGTGGTGAGATCATAGCAAGCCTAGTCACACTGCAAAAATGTCCACCCAGAAAGGTCAGTGAGTGGGTTTGCAGATGCATTGTGCCACGGGCCAAAGCAAAGGACGTTCCTTTATGCCCTTGTGTATAAACTTATCATTTATCAATACACCAGACTGTTAGGGCTGGCATGGGAGGGCTTGATGCAGGTGCAGTGTGGATAGGGATTAGGGACCTTCCTCTTCTTGGATTTGATCCTAAGGCTTTGGATCAGACCCCCTGGATGCCAGGCTGCTGCAGTCTAGCTGGGGAGCACAGCAGTGCTCTGAGCCAGCGCTACTGGTGGCACTGGTCTCCAACAAAAGGGCAGGGATGCTTTGATCTTTCTCCACTTCCACATGAGCCAGCAGACCTGGTCTGGTTTTAATACAGCTAGACGCAGACTGGGCCCTTTCAAAGGGGGATGGGAGCTCCCTTCAGGCCTCTAAAATCTGCCTACCTCTAAATGCAGCCCATTATTTTAATAGTCCCAGTGTGAATCTTTATGCTTAGCTTGGAAAAAAGCTATCTGATACTAGGGATGTGAATGGGTAACCGGTTAATGGGTGATGCTTACTGGGTAATGGTTAACTGTTACCATATAGCACCTCCCCACCCATAGCCTGCCCAGGGTGGAGGGCTGTTTCAGCATCGGGGTGTTGCTGGATCCCAGCCTGCGCTGGCTGGGAATCAGCAGCCTTGTGCAGGATGTGTGTGTGTGCGGAGACAGAAGAAGTGGGAGATGGGGGAGGACTGCGGGCTCCCAGCCCACATGGGCTCATGGGCTAGGAGTTGCTGCTGGGCGGAAGCATCGGTGGGCCGGGGCGGCTTCTACTCAGCATTAGTCTGCTGACTCCCAGTCTGCAAGTCCACATGGGCTAGGAGCTGGCAGCCCTCTCCCACACTGCCAATTCTTTTCTCCTCTTCCCTCCCTCCAAGCCAGCAGCTCTGTGGGGCTGGAGCAGTCCCTGCCCATGGCGCTGGGGCTGCTCCAGCCCGTTTAATCAATTAACTGGTTAGACTTAACACTTAACCATTTAACTAATTAAACAGGATTTTACATCCCTGTCTGATACTATGGAATCTCTTTCCCCTCTGAGCAATCAACAAAAAACCGGGTCTGAGAAGGAGGTCAGCTGCATGGCTACACAGAGCACCTATGTCGGTTGTATTGTCTTTTCCCCATGGGAATGTGTTTCAAACAGTCTAGCATGAATGAACATCTGTTTGATTGAAATGAAATGCCTGCTTTAAAGTCACTCTCCCTTGTTGACCCTCAGATGCTTATGAGCATAAGTTCTCTGGCTTGCATCTTTATGCTAACATACTCGACGGGTCAGTAATTGGACCAGACTCGACGTGTTTGCTTTTTCTTTTATCGAACCTCTGAGTATCTTTACTGACCAGGCTACTGCAAAGTCTGAATTTTGACTTTGGGAATTCCTCTATGATTTGCACATGGCAAGGACTCCAATCGCTCCCTCGTGCCAGCTGGTGGAGTGTGATTTTTTTTTGAATGTCACTTGAGGAAATATTTCCTTTAACTATGCCTGTTGCCGCTACGAAACTTAATTCATAATGCCTAAAGGTTCCATTGGCTTTATATTGGCTCCAGAAATAAGTCAGGTAGATGAAGTATTTAACCAGCTCAAGGACCTGGAATATCCCTTTGTTTGGCATTTCCTGAAGTTTACTTAACCGGGTCAGCCCAACAGCAGTCAGGAAAAAAAGCATCTTGCCATTCAGCAGATCTGCTGGTGCGTTCCTAGCCAAGACAGCAGATGTGAACCTTATGGAGCAAATTCTGTTCCCAGTGCCAATCCCGAGTAGCTGAGCTGGGACAGCAGGGAGCAACCTTCCTTTCCAGTCTGTGGAACAGCAGCAGAAGGGCTCCATCGACTATCTGTATCTGCTACTTCAGCTGTAGTAGCTGTGATGGCTCTTGAGGTGCTCTGCTTTAATTTATGAATGTTGCCCATTGACCTGGTAAATGGCATGTTCACTGTATGAATAGGCTGGTGTAATTCAGTAGGGGGCTTTTTGGGGATAAAAAAAACAAGCAGGAGGGGAAAGAGCAGGCCAGGATAAGCCCGTTCTCAGCAAACAAACACTTGAGAGTTGTTCAGAGAGAGCGCCAGGGCAGGAAAGGGCAGATAGACAAGAGATCAAAAGCAATCCCTCTAGGTCAGTGGTTCTCAAACTTTTTGGCCCGGGGCCCACTCTGCTCAATGCAAACCATTCCATGGACCACCAGCCAACCGCCCATGATGACAAAATTGGTGTAGGAGAGCGCAGGGATGTGAAGTCTGGGTGGGAGGTAGGGTGCAGGAGTGGGGTATGGGGGGTCTGGCAGGGAAGGAAGGTACAGGTGGGGGGTCGGGCTGGGAGGGATGTGTGGGGGACGATGGCGGTAGGGGTCTGGGTATGATGGGGATGAGGTGGCCCTTACCTGGCTCTGTTACATCGCCCCACCCCTGCTGCTCCCAGCACTGTCCCCCGTTGCTCCCATTGGCCACAGTTCCAGCCAATGAGAGCAGTGGGGAAAGCCTCCAGGTGAGTGGTTCCCTGTACTGCTGCTGCCCCCTCCCCCTGCACAGCAGGAAGCTGGCCCTGGCACTTCCACCTCCGAGGGGCGGGGCGAGGGGATGGGACTGGAGCACTTACATGGGCTCCCTGCTGCTAGGGGCTTGGGCTAAGCCCCAAGCCTGAGGCTCACCTGCAAGATGGTCACAGACCACTAGTGGCCCGTGAACCACACTTTGCAAACCACTGCTCTAGTTTAAAAAGGATCACTTCCTCGAGGAAAAGGGAGAGTT